CTTCTGTGAAGTTACACCAGTAGCAGGGGCGGACTGACCATTTGGAAACTCGGGCACTGCCCGAGGGCCGGGGGTAAGTAGGGGGCCCCATGAGATGCCCCTGGTACCTTTTTCATAGGCTTTTTTGAGTTTGGGCAAGGACACAGGGGCCCCATGATTCCCTATTGCCTGGGGGCCCCATGAGTTGTCAGTCCGCCCCTGATCATGAGTAACTGTCCAGTGGCCAAGAGGAAGCACCACGGGATATGGTAGAAGCAGGGAGACGGTGGTGGACAGAGTGATGATCTGAGCCCTGGAAGTGAAACAAGGACAAGTAAATGTGCCATATGACTAGAACCCACCCACCTCATGAGGAATTTACTTCCACTTTAGCTGAACTCTAAGAATTATTTGTATTCTATATTTACATTTGTCCAGCTTGGCACAATGTAAGCATGCATTTCTTATGCCTGAAGGGTATCTGAGGAAGCTGGCAAACGGTGCTACTACAGTCACAGCTTTGATTTTTCTGGGTCCTGCTTAGGGCCTGTATGAACAACTTCCCCACTGCATACTGCCAACAGGAGGTCATTTGCTTGGCACCTCCACTATGTATAGAACTCCTTGTATTTTTTTTTCAATGAATGAAAGGCATTCTCTGATCAGATGAGGTAGATAGGAGTAGCAGTACCATCACAATCTCAGTGGCAAAGAACCTGGACAGGGGGCTTAGGTGAGCATATCTTGTTTCACAAAGTAAGAAAAACAAAACACTTTAATGGATGGGTTGGTGGGGGGGAATTTTATCTTAGTTTTATTATTTTATACATGTTATCTACCTGTAAAATCCTCTATATAGATATCCAATAGCCTTGAGAATGCTGCTGGGCACCACATCTTGGATGTGATATCAGCAGCCCCATCAGACTCAATGCTGTCACTCAAATGAGTGGAATTGCTGGGCCAGCACAGACAGTAATTACAACACTGCCAGAAAAGGAGAGGGCTATGAGGTAATGATGGAGGGGTTGTGCTAGGGGGTACATGATTCTTCTGTGCTTTTACATGCAGTTTTTTTAAATTGGTGACAGGGCCTCATTAACCGCTTGCTCGCTGCCCTATAGCACAAATACTGCTACAGGGTGGCAGGGCTGCGCAAACCCACGTATATATACATGTGATTTTGCATTTCAGGGTAGGGGGTGCACGCGCACCACCATTGGCTGCTTCAGCTGTCAATCACCGGGTCCTGGCCGGTGATTCCCCGCCAGGCACCCAGCGATCGCCGAGTATCAGTGACAGGGGAAATAACTGTATTTAAACAATACATATCTTTCCCCTGTCAGCTCCAGCACACTGCTTTGTATTGCTCTGCATAACAGAGCAATACAAAGCAATGTGCTTACACAGTACAACACACACACATACACAATAGTAAAACAGCACACAGTTAACCCTTTGATTGCCCCAGATGTTAACCCCTTCCTGCCCAGTGTCATTAGTACAGTGTCAGTGCTTTTTATTAGCACTGATCACTGTATTAGTGTCTCTGGGGTTTGTCAGAGGTAGTCACTTCCCCCCCAGTGTCAGAATGCCTGCCTCAGTCCTACTATTAGTCACTGATCGCCGCCCTTACTAGTATAAAAGAAAAAAAAAATTCCAGTATATATATAAAATGTTGGGTTTTTATCCTCAATATTGTTGATTTTTTTGTTTATAGCGCAAAAAAAAAAAAAAAAAAAAAATGCAGAAGTGATCAAATACCACTGAAAGAAAGCTCCATTTGTGGGAAAAAAGGGCCATACATTTCATTTGGATGCAGTGTTGCATGACCACGCAATTGTCAGTTAAAATAATGCAGCGCCGTATTGCAAAAAATGGCCTTGTCAGGAAAGGGGGTATATCCTCTTGAGGGCAAGTGGTCAATACTTGCCATAAATAAACACTGGAAAAAAACAGACAAATGTATATTTTCTTAGGCACCGTTCACACCATGCCAGTGTGATGGAGTGCACATTTTTCTTTTTTTTTTTTTTTTTGTCCTGCATGTTGCATGTAGGGCAGCTCCTTCTTTTAATGGCCTTCAATTCCCTGACCCTTCTAAAAAATCATGCCACACTGAAATGTATGGTGCTATAATACCGTGCATTTTGGTGCACACTAAACCACACAAATTAGCAGATCGTGGGGGCGCCATTAAGAAGTCATGGCACCACTACGCGTCTGCTGAAGGGGTGTGTCGAGAAAGCACACAATTTTGCACGCATTCCCAACATGCACAAAGTGCAGAAGTAGCATTAAGCTGTGGCCCCATTCACACCTGAGGGTTTGTAGCTTGAGGCTACAAAATGATCTACATTTGAGGCAGATTCAGAATCAGGCAAGCATTTTCAGTCATTTTTTTCAGGCGTATTTAAAGTGAACTGCACTGCATGTGAGCACCAAAAAGCAAAATGCAATTTAATTCATTGATAATATTCAAAGCAAACTCATCCATCCATCCATGTCTCCATGCTTTATTTTGCTGAGAATTCATTTTGAAAAACACCCCATGAAAGTTCTGGCAGTGGCCATCTTGAGTAAGGGCAGATGATTCATGTAGAATTTACTTCCTGGAATCCATCTCCCCTTAGCTCTGGCTTTGGATGAGCTGAGAACCCTCCCGCCCCTCCTGAAGACTCCTGGGATGCATGACATCATTTGCCTAGGCATAGAAACCATAAAGTAACTGAAGAAATGTAAAAAAAACCCAAAAAGTTGGAAACAAGTAAATATGATATACTTTCCTATCGGTTTACTAATGCTATAAGCGTAAGGATTAAAAATAGTCCATGTTGTCTCAGAGAGTGACGTTCCACTTTAAGGCATTTTTGAGCCCGTAAACACACCTAGTGCTTCCATTTTAAAACAAAATGTCCGAAACTTGAATAGAATGTAAAAGTTTGAAATGCGATTCTAAAACGCTCATAAACACACAGAAAAAAAAAAAATCAAGTAAAAACGCCTGAAAATCACTTTGCTCGGCTGTGAATGCAGCCTAAAGGAAACAATTCCTGAACGCTCATTCTGAAAATGCAAGTTGCCTGACTGTCATGCTACACCGGTGGCATTATTACATTCCAAGGCCCCATGCACACTTGAGCTCAAAAACATCTGTTTTACAGGCGTTGGGCTTTTTTTTTTTCCCTGCCTGGAAATGCCCTTCCATGTTAGCCTATGTGTCCATGCACACATTGCTGTTTACAGGAGTATAAAGGCAGAAAAAAACAGCACTTGTGCAGAAAAACTGCCTGACGTGCCTAAACATGTCTAAATGCACCTAAGTGCTAGGCGTATTTAGTGCTTGAGCATTCTTCATGTTAATGGCCAGAATAAATAACATTTCTGTATCAGCCACCCCTCTCTGCCAATTCCTTTCACAGGCTTCCCATTGCCCAACGGATAAAAATTCAAAACATTAACAATAACATATAAAGCCATTTATAACTCTGCCCCAAATTACATCACCGATCTTGTCTCCAAATATCACCCAAACTGTACTCTCCACTCCTCACACGACCTCCTACTCTCTAGCTCCCTCGTCTCCTCCTCCCATGCTCGTCTCCAGGACTTCTCCAGAGCTTCCCCCATCCTCTGGAACTCTCTACCCCAATTTATCAGACTATTGCCTACTCTGCTCACTTTTAGGCGATCTCTGAAAACCTATCTCTTCAGGGAAGCCTATCCTGCCCTCAGCTAATAATGGAATCTTCTATTCTTCCTACCAGTCCATCCCCACAGTTACTACCTTTTGTACCACTAGCCCCTCCCTCCTAGATTGTAAGCTCCAAGGAGCAGGGCCCTCCTATCCCTCTTGTATTGAACTGTATTGTTGCTGTATTGTCTCCAGTTATATTGTAAAGCGCCGAGCAAACTGTTGGCGCTATATAAATCCTGTATAATAATAATAATGCAGGTTGTGTTTGAGCTGTTTCTGCATTGCATTTTGCGTTATGTTTTTGCACTTGCGTTTTTGCCATGTTTTGCAGGGTTTTTTTTTCCTTTTTTCATTTTTCTTGTTGCTAGGCAGATTTAAAATGCAAAACGTATCAAAAATGTTTTAAAAACGAAGCAGAAATGCAATACATGCTTTTCTGCAGCGTTTCCATTGAAGTCTACAGAACCAGAAATGCAACTTTTTGTATTCAAAAAAGTCCCTGACCCTTTCCAAAAAATGCACCGGGTGAAAACGCACAGATGTGAACATGTCCCATAGGAAATCATGTTAAATGGACTGTACTGCATTTCTGCAAAATGCTGCAAAAATGCTTAGGTGTGAACCGAGGGTTAGGGTCAATTTCTTAGAAAGCACTGAATCCAGAGACAGCCAAGCATTTAGTATTTGCATTAGGATTACAATCAGGGCTGCTGTTGGAAACCACAGGGCCCCATACTGCCCCCCCCCCCCCAATAAAAATTAAGTTTACTATGCTTCAGTTATGTGTGAACATAGTGAGTGATTGGTATCGATCACCATTGTGTTCATTCAGGAAAGGAAGAGGCTGGTAAATGTGACATATTTACCAGACCCTTCCCCCATCTCCATCGTGAAGGATCCTATTATTTGCTTGCAGCTGTCGGTGGGAAAGAGAGGAGGGAAACCTGCAGCACTGCAGGGGTGGGGGCACACAGGGGGGCCTGGGCAGTAGTTGAAAATATATGGTACAGAAGAAGGGTGATGGGTGTGGCAGGGGGGTAATTACTGGAACCAATCTCCTGTGTGGTTCTCTCTTCAGCAGCTGAAAGCCAGCTGGAGGGAGAGGAGAAGAAGCCAGCTTTCGGCTGCTGCAAAGAGAGCCATGCAAGGGATCGGTGCCCCCCTCACCATCCCAATTACCCTCCCTGCTCACATCAAATTCACCCAGGAGCCTGGGTCCCCATGCTGGCCTGGGCCTCATACAGGAGGACTGTTGTTACCCCCTTATCCATGTCCTTGATTGCAATATCTAAATTTCGGTCAGTACAGGTTTCTTTGAACTGTTTAGGGCAGGGCTTGAAATTTCCACTCGCCTGCTCGCCAATGGAGAGTGGAAATTATGGTGGGGGCGAGTGTGTCCCCCAGGGCTGTCTTGCTGAGCAGGCTTGGAGCTCTGGCCGGATCTGTCATTGGCACTGGGAGCCGTCAGACTGCACAATAGCTGAGCACGGTGAAAGCGAAGGAAGGAGTGTGTACTGTGCTCTCTGCCTCCCCCTGGAGTGCAGTACCCGGCTCTGTGAGTGAACAACGAAGTATTGCAACTTTTTATGGGGGTGGTGTCTGTGTACCTGTGCGTGTCTGTGTATGTATGTACATGTGTCTGTGTGTGTATGTACATGTGTGTGTTTGTGTGTATGTACGTACATGTGTCTGTGTGTGTATTTCTGTGTATGTACATGTATCTGTGTGTATGCTTGTCTGTACGTGCCTGTGTGTGTATACATGTGTCTGTATGTGTGTGTGTGTATACATGTGTCTGTATGCCTGTGTGTATATGTTTCTGTGTGTGTATGTACATGGCTGTGTGTGTGTGTGTACAGGTGTCTCTGTTTGTGTGTGCTTGTTGGTGGCGAGTAACTCTTAAGGCCTGGCTAGTAGCTCAGGACTTGAAATTTTAAGCCCTGGTTTAGGGTATATATCAGTATAACTGGCACACTAATGTGTATGTGTGATATTAGGCATATTGTAATATGCAGCATTATAAGTGCATGTATATTCCAGATCAAGGAACCTGGCCCTACGTTCATCATATAAAACATGAGTGATGTTTCTACTCCTAATATGTATGGTTCAGTGGCTTTGATAAATGACTGCAAAGCACTAGTTTATCAATGCTAAAACTGCAAATAGGAACATGTATATTTTTTGCTTTTGTGTAGCTAGGCTATGCACTTTGAGTTTAAATAGGGATCTATGACTAATAGGTAAACCATAAACTGGCCAGCTGTGCGCACAGATTTATAAAATTGTCCGTTTTTTTTTTTTAATGCTTTTGTTTGGATTGTCCTGACTTGTAGATGACCTTTGCGGCACAACAGTAGTTTATGCGTATGAGACCGCCTAAGATCTATGTTAATTATGTATCACTCACGTCTTCCAGCTTAACTATTGGCACAAGCTCTCTGCTACTAACCCGCAGAATGTCATCACTCTGTATAAATGCCTATCAAGGTGCGCAGGTTTTCCTAACCGCCTGCATTTTATCATCATGCTCCCCACTATGCATATGCACCAGAATAATAAACAGATATGATTGAGTCGTACTAGAAGTACATGTGTATATACACAACACAAAAACATAGAGGAGTGATGGAAGAAAAAAAAAGACCAGGGGGGCCAATTGAATCTGCCCCTCCTATTGTATTTTTGTGTGTAATTTGTTGGTTTGTTTCTACATTTTGTTCTGCGTATGCATAAGCAATCCTCTAAAAGCATTTACAAGTCAGAAATTAGACTTAACAGTCAATGATGGCCCTAATGTTTTTGCTCTCCCTTCAACTTTCACAGAGTTATCTAATGTGTGGTGTGTTTGCATTCATATATACAGGGTGGGGGCTTATAATTTTATTTTTAAAGCTGAACTTCATTTTTTTTTTTAATAAACCTTGATTTAAAAAAAAAAAAAAAAAGTTTTTTCCTTTCATTTAACTCAAAGTTATTGCTATCACAAGGGGGCTGACATTATGTTATAGCATAGTGCAGGTGACATGTACTCTTTAGGAATATATCATTTGATCACAGAATGTGCTCAATCAACTTCTTCACTGACAAGATCAGCCAGTGTTTTACAGCTCTGAACCAAGAAGTGCTCAGAGCTGAGCTCTTTCATGTTCATACAAACCCAGAGGAGAGCAGTCAATGGATGTTCACTGATCTCCCACTGCATTCCATCCTGACACTTGCCCTGAACATCCTGGGCATCCAGGAGGGACCGAAATGGGTTAGCTGTTGAAATCACTTCTACAAGAGAGTTGACAGTCAGGATTAAAAAAGTAACCACAACAACTAAAGCAGAAAATTGGGATCCCCTACAGACCAAGGGCTGGTTTACACCATGCCCGCATCTGAATCGGCCAGGATCACACTGTGCATTCCTGTGCGATTCAAACTGCATGCAAAGAGCACTACATTTGCAATCTGCAGCGGGTGTCAATAAAAAGGTAACACTTTTGTACCATGTGATCCAGTTGCAGTGCATTTTAAAAAGTAGTGCATGCACTACTTTTGGTGCGGTCCAATTTCAGCCCATTCAAAATGAACGGGCTGAAATTGCATTGCACAGAACCACATGTGAATCACACAGGAATGCACAGAGTGTTCCTGTGTGATTAAGATGCGGCTATGGTATGAACCAACCCTAAAGCCTTGTTTACACCTGTGAATGAGGGACAGTTGAGCCACGTTTTTACTACTCCTCAACAGCTTTCCCTGATGCTTCTGAGACAGCAGCAAGGGGTTTTCATGGCTGCAAAGCGAAGAATCACAAACACAGCAGGAATTATACTCCCTGTCATGCTCGGCGGCAATACCATTTGCAGAGCGCAACCCATTCAAGTGAATGGGGCTGCGCTGCAACCACCCCACAACCACACATAACACATGTGGCTGTGGCGCAATTGTCCAGTAATTAGGGGATTAAAATAGGAGGTGAGGAGGTGATACAGCTCCTCCTTACCGCCTGTCTATTGCTGTCTGAAGTGCGATCCGGCACAAGACTGCATAGCATGTTTAAAGGAGGTCTAAGGCTAGGTTCACACCTATACAGTTTGCATTTCAGCCATGCTTACAGCTGAAAGCACTCACACAGTTAACCCTTTGATCGCCCATGTTAACTCCTTCCTGCTCAGTGCCATTAGTACAGTGTCAGTGCTTTTTATTAGCTCTGATCACTGTATTGGTGTCACTGGGGATGTCAGTACAGCCAGTCAGTTTCCCCCAGTGTCACAATGCCCACCGCAGTTCCGCAGTCCTGCTATAAGTCGCTGATCGCCGCCATTACTAGTAAAAAAATCCAAGTATATATAACACCATTTTTAAACGCTATAACTTTCACGTAAACCAATTAATTTACATGTATTGGGATTTTTTTTTTTCGCAAAGACGTAGCAGAATACATTTTGGCCTAAATTTCATGACGAAATTTGATTTTTTACATTTTTTTTTACTAGACATGTCTAATAGCAAAAAGTAAAAAATTATTATTTTTTTCTCAAAATTGTCGGTCTTTTTTTTATAGCACAAAAAATTGAAAAACGCACGGACAATCAAATACCACCGAAAGAAAGCTCAATTTGTGGGAAAAAAAGGATGTAATTTTAATTTGGGTGCAGCATTGCATGACCATGCAATTGTCAGTTAAAGTAATGCAGCGCCGTAACGCAAAAATGGTCTGGTCAGGAAGGGGGGGAAATCCTCAGGAGGGCAAGTGGCTAAGGTGGTAGTTAAACTCATTTTAATGTCTTATCTGCATTAAATTACCCTCAGAACCTGTGTAATGAATATGTGTTCGATTTTAGGCTCCATGCACACTGGGCGTTTTAATAATGCTGGTAATGTTAGCTGTGTAAAGTCACGTTTTTGTATTAGCGTTTAGCCGCATTTTTTCACGTTTTTGCGTTTTTTAGGGTTTTTTTTGCTAAAAAAAAGTCCAAAAATGCCGGTTTACCACGATTTACACATTTTTCAGCATTAGAGCATTTGTACAGCTAGTTTTGAGGTTTTTTTACAACCAAAAAACGCCCCTACCAAAAAACTTTGATTACAGTCTATATTGCATGGACACATAGGATAACATGCTGGGAGTTTACTGGCTGTAGAAAAAAATGTCAAAAACCAAAAACAGCCGCTGTAAAAACTTCCAGTGTGTATGAGGACTGGGATAAAAGGGATAAGGTGGCAACCTGAAGTTTACAGTATTTATATTATATAAACAGTATGTTTTTCTTTAAATTAGGGGTATAGGCTAGAGAACAACCAGATCTCCACTATAGCCCAGGACACTCATGAAAAATGCTTGCAGCTGGGGTGCATTGACTTTACTACACCTTGTCAGTGTCTAATTTCATAATCATTTCCTGTAACTGGGTAGATGACCTCTGCTGAGGATAGGTGGTGTATTTCTGCTGATTGATTACGGTAGGAAGTAGTAGGCACCATGCTAAAAGTTTCCAGTTAACACACAGTACATAAATTACTGATTTCATTGCAATCTGGTAGAGTTTCATGGCTACAGTTATGGGGTGTTATTCACATTCTCTTGTAATATTTCAGACCATCAATGAAGATTGTGTAGTGAACTAATTTTAAATCCCATCTTTGGTCAAATCTTTTTTTTATAAGTTTTGTTGATTTTTGTCATTGTGGGGGAAGACTTCCACTCCCTGTCTGTCCTATTGATGAGGGTCACTTGGATAAAGCCCACTGTCAGCTGATGTCACAGAGCCAGTCCAGACTCTGCGGGGATCCCAACAATAATGCCAAGATCCACCCAGATGCCCAACTACCAGCTGGCTCAGCTTCTCAGCATGCTGCTGAGAGCCTGAGCCAGCTGTTCCAGCCCCCTCTACAGCCTGGTGCTTCAGTTGGCAATTAAGGGGCAGAGCAGAGAGCCAATAACTGACAGTCAGCTCACTGAAAAATGAGAACTGAGCGATCAGCAGTCTGTGGTCGCTCAGTTCTTGGTGTAGAGGCAGCAGAGGACAGATGCAACATCAGATCTATACTGCATCTACATAGGTAGGTATTTCATTTTTTAGAAGCCCACACTTCTAAACACATAGGTGCGCAAAATCACACACATATATATATATATATATATATATATATACATACATACACACATGTGATTTTGCATGTCTGGGTAGGGGACATGCGCGTGCCCCACCCACGCTGCCATTCGCGCCCGTCAATCACTGGGTCCCAGATGGTGATTACTCGCCAGCACCTGGTGATTACCGAGCATCTCCAACAGGAGGGGGAGAATTGTTTGTAAACAAAACAGTTCTCTCCCGTCAGCTTCTGCACACTGCTTTGCATGGTTGTGCACACCGCAGCCATGCAAAGCAGGGTGCTTACAGTGAAGCACACAGACACAGCCCCTAGTAAAACAGCAGACAGCACACTGTTAACCCTTTGATTGCCCCACATGTTAACCCCTTCCTGCCCAGTGCCATTAGTACAGTGTCAGTGATTTTTATTAGCACTGACCACTGTATTGGTGTCACTGGGGATGTCAATGACACCAAGTCAGTTCCCCCCAGTGTCAGAATGCCCTCCGCAGTCCCGCTAAGAGTCGCTGATCACCACCTTTACTATAAAAATAAAATTTAAAAAATCCCAGCCATTTTGTAAACGCTATAACTTTCACGTAAACCAATTAATTTTTACATATTATTATTATTATTATTATATACAGTATTTATAAAGCGCCAATAGTTCGCTCAGCGCTGTACATTACAAAAGGGGACAGAACATGTGACAGAACAATACCAATACAATGCAAAACATGAGGGGATCAAGGGCCTGCTCT